AAAAAAAAAAAAAAAAAAAAAAAAAAAAAAAAAAAAAAAAAAAAAAACAATACATTAGTCATTAAATAGAAACTCAAGCGTAATATGAATAAATGAAATAATTGAAGAATATACAAAAGAACACCCAATAATAAATACAAGAAGAGCATCAAAAATATTTTTGCATAAACTGGCTGTTAGGTTTGAAATATGTACGAACAGAGAAAATTATACATATATATATAACGAATATATGTATATGCTTTACATTATAAACAGAATGATGTATTAGTTAATTAGGCATTATAGAAATAATTAAGGTCAGTGTAAATCGTTGAATCGACTTCTACTGCTTGCTGCGGCAGCATCGATACAAAGTTTATGTAATATTTAGCTCAAATAACTAAAGATCGCATTCGGATGACTGCGATTTTAAGATAATCTTGAACTTTCTGGTACGTTATATATTCCTGATATATGTTTAGGCTCTATACTAAAGGAGTAAAGTCTGTCATATCGTGCAGAGCATAGTCTATATATAAAATGTTAGTTGAAAGCTTCATACATTTGGCGACCACATACAATCCTGTCGGTTTTCTCAACATTACGATTCGCTTTTATCATAATGAATACTATTTTAAATTAATGTTCATCTCTGATGTTTAATTATGTTCAAATTGTAAAAATCAAACCAACATACGTGAAGGTACATATTGAAAAAAAATTGAAAATATTATATTAATTATATATAAGAAAAAATACATGGAAAGACGTGCTTGTTTTTACTGAGCCAGAATTTTAGCAGTGGGGAAAAACTATATTATTAAACATATATACTGCAATTAATAAACGATGTCTATAATTCACATTGGTAGATATTGTACACTCAACCCAACAAAAAGAGACATATATATATATACTATATATACGGAAATTAGCTAAATTTCATGTTAAAATAATTCACAAATTGTAATTCGATTGAGAACTCTTTTTACTGTCTAAATTTAAGTTTCAACGTTTTTTTTTTAAGAATTGCTACTTCCGCGCGCGTAATTTATGTATATAATGATTTAAAATAAGGCCCAGAAAATTTATAAAAATTAAAATACTATATGTATGTATATGCTTACATACCCAATGTGTAAAACTGTTTAGTGGAAATGCTTGTTGAAATTGGCAAAAGGAACTGCAACTTGCGCAAATTGGTAAAATATATATATATTATATTATATATTAGAAATAAAAAATTGTGTAAAAATTCTATTGTGTGAATTATGTATGAGAGCATGATAGCTGTTTGCTACAAAGTTCATATTATTTCGTGAATATTTCTAGCTAATATATATTGCGAACAGAATGCTAATCCATTGGTATGGCCATTGGCCACTGACCAAGTGGTATGGGTACTGGCACTGACCAGACAACACATAGACTAGACATGTAGAACAAATTTTTCTACACCTCGACACTGTTAAGTTGAGGTACCACTATACTTCGTATTTGCTCGGCTCGGTCGCTGGAGGTTCAAGCAGTAAAAATGCTGCACGTCTAAACAGTGCGCTATGAGCGCTCAATCGAAATGGTCCCAATTCCGTATGAAGAACGGCTATGTGCCATTTGTCCTACTCTCTCTCTGTCTGGTTGCACTGACTGTTGTTTGGTCAGTGCTGGTTGTCTGGTTAGTGGTATAGTTAGACGACCTTATTTCGATAACGATTATTGATGCAATCGATATTACCGAAGCCAGCTGTTGATGTTGACGGATAACATGTATGTTAATCAAATATGAGTTTCAGCTGTTTTAACATATTCGTAGTCAGCTGCTATAACATAATTCCACTTTGCTCACTTATTTACTCCTTTTGATGTTTAATAAACTTGTGTTTTCCGGCATTAAAGCATTTAAATGCATGGTTCATGTTTGATTGCCAAGTTGCTGACCCTGCCACGTTCCACAGCATTGGTTTCCTCCCGTTTGCTGCAGGGTTCTTGTTACAACGGAACATCTGTGTGCCGTATGGCGTCGCCGGCCGAAATTGCTAAGAAGACAACGAACATTTCGTCAGAGATAATAGCACAGCTTGGTAAGCCGCCTAAGATGCGTGAGAATCCTGCAATCAAGAAAGTGGACAGCGATGAGTTTCATAGCATATTCACACCAGAGCTGGAAGCTCTTGTGGCTATGTTCAAGAAATATGACTACGAACTGCGTATTGCAGGCGGCGCCGTCCGGGACATATTAATGAATATAAAGCCGAAGGACATTGACTTCGCGACAACTGCCACTCCAGAGCAGATGAAGGAGATGTTCGGCAAGGAGGAGGTGCGACTGATCAATGCCAAAGGCGAAAAGCATGGCACAATCACGCCACGCATCCACAACAAAGAGAATTTCGAGGTTACCACGCTGCGTATTGATGTGCGTACAGATGGACGTCATGCGGACGTTGTCTTTACCACCGACTGGCAACTGGATGCCAATCGTCGGGACTTGACCATCAATTCCATGTTCCTCGGCTTCGATGGGACAGTATACGATTACTTCTACGGCTACGAGGATTTGGAGCAACGTCGCGTCGTTTTCGTGGGCGATGCCGATGTGCGCATCAAGGAGGATTACTTACGCATTCTTCGATACTTTCGATTCTATGGTCGCATCGCTGAGAGACCGGACTGCCATGACAAGGCAACGCTGGCAGCTATCAAGGCCAATTCCGAAGGTCTGGCCCGGATCAGTGGAGAACGCATTTGGGCAGAGCTGCAGAAGATTGTAGTTGGCAACTTTAATCGCGAGCTGATACTAGAAATGAACAATTGCGAGCTGCTGCAACAATGCGGCCTGCCCATTCATCCGCATCTTGAAGAATTTGAGCGACTGTGCGTCGATCTCAAGCGGTTCCATGAGCCACATTACCCAATCTTATATTTGATTGGGCTGCTACATAGCAGCGAGCAGGCAATGAAACTGCACGAACGCCTGAAGCTGAGCGCATATGAGCGGGATCTTGCTTTGTTCATCACTCAGCAGCGGGAGAGAGTAATCCATAAAATAAAAATAACGATGATTGAAAGTAATATGAATTTTCCGTTTCAGGTGAACTCCGAATATGTTTGTCTACGGGACTATCAGAAATTGTGCCTTCAGCCCTATGCTAAACGGGATTACGTTGAGCAGTTACTGAAATACGCCAACAAATTGGAGCTCTATGAGCAGTTGAAGGAGTGGCAGATGCCTAGCTTACCCGTAAATGGCCACACATTGAAGCCGTACGGCCTGGCGGGTAAACAAGTGGGCGTGGTTCTAAATGAACTGCGTCTGCTCTGGGCGGACAGCGACTTTACATTAAGTGCCGAGCAACTACTGGAGAAAATGCCCGCCATACTGGAACAGTTACCGTCGCCCAATAAAAAGCAACGCACGGAGTGAAAATTCAGCATTCAATTGTTTTAATTTCTTAAATTCTAAAGTAGATAGACTAGATTAGACTTTGCTAAATATCAGAATGGGGCGCTTAAAGCCTGCTTGGCAGTGCGCTGGAACGCCCATCAGCTGCATGCGAGCAAAGCCAACTTCTTGGCTGAGTAGATAGCTGGCGAACTGATCTGGCTTAAATTGGATGGCCTCGTAGTTCTTCCTTATGCTTTCCTGCAATGAAAATGAGAACGATTATTCTCGGAATAGCTACAGGCTCGTATATTTGTTCCACTAACCGTTAGCTTTTTGCGTCGCTTGTAGGTATCGAATGCTTGCGGTTCTAGTATCAGTTTGCCACCTGGGTGCAGCAGCAGGTACATTCGTCGAAAGGCCTGCTTCAGACCCGCATCACAGAAGTTGAGGTGTATCCACTTGGTGACAGAGAGGCAGAGAATGACATCGAATTGTGGTCGCACGATTTCAAGTAACACATCGTCGGCTAGCACAAAGTTGCCATGCACAAATTTGACATTGTATGGAAATTTTCCAGCAGCCGTGGCTGCTGAAATATTACTGGAGCGCTTGAGCAGATTAACGGCGAGTTGGGCCTCGGATATCAGGGCACGATCGATGTCCAGGCCAACCAGGCTCTTCACCTCAAATTTCTTGGCTATTTCCAGAGAGAAGTGACCGGAGTTGCAGCCAACGTCGAGCAATTGTTTGCCTCGAAACAACTCCGGCTGCATGCCCAGCACATCCAGGCGTACATCATGGAAGTCTGTGTCCAGAATACGCTTGCCATAATAATGCCTGTAGTTGCCATATATAAAGGCCTCATTTTTATTGATCGTGGGCTTGATATTCCTAAGTTCTATTCGCTTTTTCGGACTCTGCGCCAATGTTTTTTTGTTACTCTCTGGCACATGTGCGTCCTCCACTTTTAAAGCCTTGCCGCAGAGTTTTACCTTTTTGATATTCTCAACGCCATCATTGTCATCGCCGGGCGCTGAGCGCTTTTTATCAACGTCTTCCTTCTTGAATTCAGGTACCACTGTATTGTTATTATTTTCTAAATCCATTATGAATTCGAAACGCTTTAAAACGTTTAAATTTTGCGGATCTCAATAATAAAACATTTAGCGGGACTAACATGTTCTGTGCGAAACAGTGTGCTAAAAGGCCAAAACTATCTCTTATTTATGAACTGTTTTGTGGTTCTCTTAGAAATAGGAAAATTTACACTTCGTAAGCGAATATAGAAAACTACCCTTTACCAACCTTTACTGTAGCTAAGTAAAGATTTCTACAATTTTAGTCTTGTCGGAAACCAGTTTACTTGCCAATATATTTGAACATTATAAATCAAAGAACTGGCTTACAGTGCAAAATGAGTAAATGCGAAAGAGTTTTAAATAATTATCGTATATCGAAATCACTTTATAGGCTGCTATATTAATTTTAAATGTTGATATGGAAAAAGTTCATCTGAGGTTTCTCAGCTTTAAATGAATCAGTACATTCAGTGGTACGTTTGATATAGTATATAACCACTGACCAGACAGTGATATAACCAAATGAACAGTGGCAAACACCAATTGTTAACCAAATGTTAACTAACAGCTCTGCCATTTATATCGAAATGCGGGTTTCATTATAGGCGCGCATTTGAAGATAAATTAATATATATTTACTTTTGCATTAAATTCAAAACTAAAATATAGAAAATGGTATGGTAAATCTACTCAACCGAAAAAATTTAATTTAATAAATCCTGAAGATACAGTTGGACAGATAAACAATTGATAACATCATATGCACTGGCGTTTTTATTAAATGGTAAATCTGCATTCAATCACACGAGAATAGCCCCCAGTATCGACGGTCTGGCTACTTCTGTGATCTTTTGACTCAAACAGCAAAAGTTTATATGGAAGTACCAATAATTTTCTATTTGTGTTTAGTTTTTCGTATTAAGTCATTAAATGATGAATAATAATATTTTATAAAATGCTTGCAAAATAATTGATAAGAAAATAGTCAAAAGCATTGGTGGCTATCTATATATTTTAAATAATTTACCAAACATTTAATGATATTCATAATAAACTACAATTTAGTTTTTCAAAGGTACTGACGAAAATATAAAAAATATTCTTTTATAGATCATTATTGTAACACATATAAATATAATATAATATCTTTTATTTTTAAATATATTCTGAATGAATTAGACTCTTTCTCATATTAGAAACAAATATTTAAATAAAGTACTAAAAATCTAAACGTAGTACTATGAATATGCGATTGCATTATGGTTTGTTTTGAATCAACCATTGAAGAAAATTATATTTAACTGCTAACCTCTGAAAGGAATCTAGAAAATATATATAACTAATACAGTGTACATATTAGCATATTAACATTTTTCTTTATATTTTTGTTTTTTTATATAAACAAATCGCATTTAAATTTAGATCGTTTTTTTGCGCCAATCCATTGTATAGCAACTATAAATGAAATATTTTTGGTTTTTAAAATGCATTTTTGTAATCATTATTTAATATGATATAATATAATTATTAATATAATATAATAATTTTATGGAAACAAATACATTAAACTAAACAAAAAATTTGTTTTCGTGCATTGTACTAATGTGCATATGTATACATATGTGCATATTCACATGTACATACATATGTATGTAAATTTTGGGTCTACAAAATTGTGGGGGAATGGACCAAAGAAACTTGACTCAAGGCAAATCAGCTGAGAGAGGGGTAAGACAAACCGTACCCAAATCAAGAGTTTTACTACCTTAGTCTTATTTGTCGCCTCTGTTCCCATTCAGACGTGCCGTACAGAGCGTGCGCGAGGCGAACTCTGCTCGTCAGAGTAACAAGTTGTTGAGGTGGTAAACTGCTCTTGCGTTGTTCTTGTTGCTGCGCTTCTCTCGCGCCTGTTCTCCGAGAGAGCGTGAGCACGTGTACCTCTGAGTGTGTGTGTTAATAGTCATCCGTTTATGTACACACACGTACACGGGGAGACACACACACGCACACACACACACACACACACACACACACACAAACACACACACACACAAATACACACACACACACAAACACACTTATTCTGCTCTCTGTTTTCGTGCTCTTCGCCGCAAACGTGATGAACTCGCTTTGGAGCAAGCACGCCTTCGACAGGACAACGCTTGCCGAACTAAAATCACATCCTTCTGTTGATCCGAAGAGTGAACACCAATTGCCGCAGCACTCGCAGTTGTCAGTTGTCAGTAGACAGTTACCAGTTTATTCGTGTAAAATCAAAAGCAGCGCGCACAGAATACGTCGCCACCGTTTGCGGTCAATTGCAATTGAAGTTGAAATTGAAATTTCAAAATGGACATATCAGCCTACCAGCATATGAATATTCGTATGAGTACACGGGGCAAGCGCCCACTGCGAAACTTAACGCCGAATGATAAAGTGCGGGCAATTCAAAGAATTCATAATGGCGAGACAAAAGCCAGTGTTTCGAGGGACATAGGAGTTCCGGAATCAACGCTTCGTGGTTGGTGCAAAAATGAGCAAAAGTTAAGATTCATGTGCCGTCAGTTGGGATCGGATAACCTGGGACTGCCAAGTCTGGACACACCCCCGGAAAAACGCGCCAAATTCGAGCTACAATTGCTGCCCCCGAAATTCGCAACAATTCCCAGTTATGACGATCTCGGCATCGGCAGTTTGCCCTGCCAGGCGATGGCCTACACAACTCACAACGAGTCGTTGCTGGAGAAGTTCGCGTTGGTCGAGTTTATCAAACAGAAGAGCTTGCACCCCGAGGCCATTCAGCAGATAACGGATGCTCACGCCGCCAGCAAGGATTCGGTTTCATCAGTGCCGGGCTACTCAACCAACAACATGGTGCATCAGCTGAACTTATTGGCTCTCTTCAACTCCAAGTTGTCGCCCAAAGCTAACTTCCAGGAGCCCAACAACATACCGGATCCGAGGCCGGACTGCACCACCACGCCGGAAGAAGCCAAAAAGTTTAATTGTCCCCTCCTAAGTGTGAAGAACTGGGCAAAAGATCCAGCCAAGCATAGTCCGTCACCTATCCAAACACAATACATCAACGATAATAACAATAATGACATTGACTGTGCTTTTACACCCACAACAACAACTACAACAGCAACTCCAATTGTTAGCAACAACAACAACAACAACAACAAAAACCAGACGGCGCTTCCTTCCATGCTGCAGCCAATCTTCGAGGCTCAGCCCTGCCAAGCAACTGTGAACTCTACACAAATTCCTCTGGCTGAAGGCGACGGCCATGGGCAGGGAGCTCTCCTGGATTGGTGTAAAATGTTCAGCGCGAGTTTGAATTTCTTTGCATTCGCTGCAGCTGCTGCTGCGTCCATGCATCCTACAGTCGAGGGCCATGGCCTGCCTGGAGCGATGGAGCCCGGAGCAAGCGGAGCGAATGATCTGTTGAAGAGGCTAAGTCCTTCGGTTCATAGTGAGTCTTCCAAAGAAAGTTTTTACGACAGCGAGCCAGAAGATCTGTCCGTGCGGTCGTGTGCTTCCAAAGTCTCTAGTCCGTCTAACAGCAGATCCCACAGTCCCGATAAGAGCAGTACGGCCAGCACCTCGGTCCATAGCGATGCGGATCAATAGTCAATTCCGGAACTACCACTGTAGATAATTCTAAAGTACGTCTAATTCTTAGAGCGTCCTTAAGTAGCGTAGTCGAATCCAATCCCATCCCATAAGTTTCGTTAATCGGGCAAGATTTGATAACAATTGCAAGTATAATCCTTAAATTGTATTCAAGCAATAATAACTATCAAAACTTCTAATTAGTTTTAATGTCGCAACACAACCATCATTGACTGTGTATAAAAACCAAATGCAATAAGTCTATAGAACTAACGAGTTTTAGATGTATTAAATAGCTTAAATCTTTTGGCATATTTTTAACTTATTAAATTAATTTATTATGTTTGTTTCTTTTTGTCGTAAGAATTAAATAAAATATGTATTTGTAAGAACAACGAAATAAAATATTAAATACAAGCGAATTTGTGATTTGTGTTTATATCATATACAAGCCTAATTATAAAGTGTATTAACTATTCCTCAAACAAATTTCAGTCTTTTATTCTGCTGATCCGACTTTCAGCTTGTGTGAATCGAGTTTCATATATGTATCGTTGCGTTCCGTACAAAATTAAATATTTTAACAGTCTGAATCATATTCAAAAATTGAATGGAATGCGTTTCTCTTTGCTTTTGGGATGGAGTGAAAAATCCATTAAGGCGAAATAATGAAGATTTTCAATGTCTCCAGATGATTTTATTATTATTATTTTTTATGTTATTTTAATTAATTTAAAATGTATTCTATAGTGAAACAAAATATGTACATATTTGATCTTTGGTTGACTGAAAAAGCTGAAAATGAATTCAGTAAAATGGAAACATGGACACCTGGATATAAAAATGTTCTACACTAAATGAAACTTTAAACTGAACAGTAAAAAGCTAATAAATAAATAAAAGTAAATAATTAAAAAAGATTTCAAAGAAAGATCTAAAATGGTTCCCTCCATGTTTGTTTCAAATTCATTGGTTTCTTTGGCCAATTGTGTGGTGATGATCATTACCTTTGAAGGATTTCTTCTTATTGTTTAAAGATTGATGAACTTACCACAAATATATATTTATATATGTATTTCTAGTCTGAAATGTATGGTTTGGAATTGCAATTCGAATGAGTTTCCACTGCTGAGAGGAATGATTAAAAGTTTATAAAACATTTTGAATACCCTCTATATAGATTGTTCTTAAAAATGCCCAGAAGCTTCGGCAGTGGAATTATCTCAACCAAAGAAAGTTGAAGAGCAAAAGCAGCCGATACCGAAGCCGCAGCCGCAGCCGCAGCCGCAGCAGCAGCAGACGAATGATTGGTTTACCTTTTGCTAAAATTAAATATCGCGTGTTGGTAATTTCCGCTTGGCTTCTCGTTGCTGCTGCCAACTGTTGAAGTTGAAGCGAATTATTACGATGATTACGCGACTGACAAAGTTTTCATGCATTCATGTCATCCATCCGGCCTTCCTTCCAGCCAATCTTTCCCTGTATGCGCTCACGTTGCATGTGCGCCGCTCTGCTTGTGGACATCTTCGTGGCATTCTGGATGAGGATAAAATTACTTAAAAGCAATCCTCTGGGCATATCCACTGAATTGGCATACAACCGCTGTCAATATTGTGACGCCTCGTAGCCCGCATGGTCGTAACAGATCGCCAAAACGATCGACATATACACACACACGCATATGCTATACATATACATATTTGTATCTGAATGAATACTGAATATATAGTATGTGCATATAATAATTTGTGTAGATGATCATGGGATTAAAGTTTCGAATATCCTACTAGTGCATCAATATATGTATATGAATGTAAAAGTTAACAATGAGCGACTCTTGATCACGTCGATCACTGGCTGAACATCAGTTTCGAATAGAGCTCCGATATCCTATTTGGATTTTGGCGGTCACTTAAGCCGAACTTCTACTTCGAGAATTTTAAGCGATCACTTAGGTATTTTGTGATAAATAATCATATTAAATACCATAATGTAAAATTTTTATGTTAGGCATATGTATAGCCACTGTGTCAGT